GCCTCTCTTGCACAAACAGCTCTGGCTTATAAACAGGCCGGGCCCCTGAAATGGGGCCTGAATTCTTACAGGCCGTGTTTACCGCGGGAGGAAAGTGACACGTCCTCACAGGCAGGGGGCAGGAGCGGGGGGCAGGAGGCAGGGGGCAGTTCTCGGGATGCCAGGGTTTACATCAACGTGCGGTAGCAAACGGCACAGAGTCCGACTGGAGGAATGGCAACAACGCGCAGTAAAAAAAAAAAAAGGTACAGTTCTGCAAAGGTCCACAGGGGGAGACAAAGATCAGATTCCTGACGGGTCACAGGTTTGGGTCACGCAGACACAGACACTATGATATTTATAACAACTGCCTTGAAATTCTATCTAGGTCAGAGGTCACCGACCTTTTGTGACCCTTTTGTTAGCCTAATGACCCCGGGTCTGTATTCTCCCTGCGAGAATGTCAGCGGTCAGGGTGGAAAAAAAAAAAAAAAAAAACAGGACAAAATCACAGGACTCAGAAACAAAACAAAACTAAAGGTCGTCAAGGTCAACTCGTCATAGCATTGCACACCACACGGGGTCGGGTGAGAACTTTAACGTCTGTTTTGTGGATAAATGAAAAAATTCTTGAATGTATCGTCTACACAGAGGCTAACGCTAAACAGGCTAACTTCTGACTGCAACAAATCTGCTCCAGAAATCCAAAGCTCCAAAGTTGACGAATTATAAACCGATACGGGGGTGAAACGTCAGGACAGACCCGCGCGGACCGACCCCCCAGAGCTGCAACCCAATCTCGGTACGGTGACCCATTTGTTTGTTTTCTTCTAGAATAGAAGCTCTGACGTCAGGCGGCTCCGTGGGTGAAAGGATTTGACACTCGATTCTGGCTCTTATCACATATCTGCACTGATATCTAAGCCCTTCCTGCTGCTCACCGTCGCCCACTGCAGGTCACAAACAACCACAGTGGGGTCTGAGGCCTCACACTCACAGCAGCTTCATCATCATCATCATCAAAATATTCTGCTCCTCGGTCTCACAAAGGCATGCTACCCCTCACCTCCTCCCTGCCCCTCGCCTCTCAGTGTGGGCAACAGAACACGCAGATCTGCGTCTTTTTATGTTTTGGTGTGAAACCAATGACTGAATACTTCCTCCCAGAAAGACTTGCTGTCTCTGGGGTAGCTGTCAGAGCCGACCCCAGGAATGACCTGATCTCCAGAGCGGTTTCAACCACCACTGTCGGAATTATTTCCAGATTTTTGGAACGTGGTCCAGTGAATGGATCTGAGACACTCGGTCCATGTAGACGTGGATACACATATATAAATATATACGTGTATGTAAATATATATATCCATATATTTACAAACGCATAAAAAATATATGTGTATGTAAATATATATAGGCTATATATATTTACATACACATAAATATATGTGTGTATGTAAATATATATACACATATATTTACATAAACATAAAAAATATGTATGTAAATATATATACATATATTTACATAAGCATATAATATATAATATATAGAGAGACATGGATACACATATAAATATATATGTGTATGTAAATATATAGACATATTTACATACACATAAAAACATATATAACGTGTATGTAAATATATATATGCATATATATTTATATACACATACAGTATATAAATATGTGTTTGTAAATATATATACATATATTCACATACACATATATTTATATTTATAAATATATATATATTTACAGACATATATATAAATATATATGTACATATATATGTATGTTTATGTATGTGCCTGTATATGTATAAAATATTCAATAGCTGTATTTAACAAATTAACGAACGCCCTAGCCCTTACGGGAATCCGATTCTGCTGTACACCACTGGAGGGAGCCCGGGTACTACCAGTGGTACACGAACCATATTTTGAGAACAAACACAACAGAAAGCCACCCTGCCTCTGTGCTGTATAATATCTAATAAAGGAGCACTCGGAACAGTGACATGTTCCTGGACCACATCCATCCTCTAAACATGTTCGGTCAGCGTGTTAGCCGACACGAACACAGAACGAACCCGGTTCTGTTGACGGAGAGAAGCCGCTGCGAGAACACACACAAACACACGGTTGATTAGGAGTTTAAATGTCGGTACCGCGGCCGTTAATTGACCGACATGAAGTCAGACGTCAACACTCGGTTGTCGTTTTACTGTCGAGCTAACGGCTGCTAATTACGATAATGCCTAAATAACAAGATTTTTTTTTTTGTTGGTTTTTTTAGACTCGAGCTTCGCGAACTTCTCACTCCTTCAACGCGAGCGGCCCGCGGTTCTGAGGTTCTACCGCCGGAGAAACTTGTTCTACTGAGGAACCGAACGTCAACTTACTCTCTGCGCCGCGCTGCCCATCAGGAAGAGCAGAGAAGTTGTCAGAAGAACGTGACTTCCCGGCGACATCACGCTCCTCATACTCTCCTCGGCTGCTCCACTCTGAATGCGCGCAGTCGGTCGCGCTCGCTCCTCTTATTCATTCAATCACCTGAAGTGTCGGGAGCGCGCATCCATCGTTCATGAGCGGAGCCGAACTCCCTCCATCCCCTCCCTGCTTCTCCACCTGACCGTAAACTAGTAATAATCTGACAACATGTATTTTAAATTCTACTTTAGAGTAATCCGCACATGACGTATAATCCTCGTGTTATCTTAGCGACAGGGGCGTCGCAAGAAGAGTCAGTACCACGGCCAGCCGAGGGGATTCGAACCTTCAGAGTTAGAATTATTATTTTTATTAATTATGATAATAATTAAAATTATTATAATCCAAGACCACGGGATAGAACCGAACTGGCGTCCTGTTTAGACTTTGCCTGTAGCGCCTCCTGTTGACAGTGTAAAGTTATGTGTTTGATGAATAGACATATTTATAGAGTATAATAAAGTAAAAATGTAATTTTAAAGTTAAAAAACTAAAACTAAAGTTAACATATTCAGTCCTAAAGTAAGACTTTTGTTAAAATTATATTTCTGATATAAGAAACAAGTTGATTTTTAAAAGAAGAAAATGTTTGATAATCAATCAAACAGTTTTAAATCACCGCTATACCAAAGGCTTTTGATCCATTTTGTGGTAATACATTTTATTTTAAAAACTTGCATTAAATTTAAAGCATATTATTCACATAAATAAATATTTTTTGTCTGAAGACAAAAAATCTTAAAAACATCGACTCCGCGATCTGTTCTATTTATTCTCAAACTCAGATTTTTGTGAAACATGTCGTGGTAAGGTTTTACCACCTCAGGTTCGTTGATCTAGAACTTTCACAAAGTACAAAGAAAAGACAAAGATCGTTGCTCGAGTTCACCTGTGCACAGGGAGAGTCCAGCGGAGAGTCAGGGGGTTGACTGCTGAATCCTGCTCTCTCCCCAAACTCAGGCTCTTTTATTCTCTCCAACATCCAGGGGGTACATGTCAAGTGGTACAAACTTCGTTTGTTCTACGCACACACATACATTTTGACAACAACATCTACTCCCTTGGTTTCTCATCCTGTTCTTATCGCACCTAAGTGCTGTTGTTGTGACCTTATGCTCTAACCTTCAACCTAGCCGTTGTCAAATTGTGATCTACTAGTTTCTGATCCCTATCTCACCAAGTACTCCTCTTGTAACAACAAACCTTGGTGCCCCTCAACCTTGCAGCTCCTTTTCTTACAGCTGCATATTTTCAGTTTTAGCTTTAAGCAGCATTTTATGTTCAAACTGGTTATATGTTTTAGCACATCTCTTATGATTATTTATTCTATTATAAAACATGATTATATATGTTGCATACTTCTATAAACTATGAACATATGAATACATTTCATCCACAAACAATATCCGGTTTTTTTACAAACAGAAAAAATAACTCACGGTTTCATTTTTTTATATTTTAAAATAAATCCCACTGTGTTTTGTTCTTTAAAAATCCCAATATTTCGCACACGGGATTCCGTCAGAAGAGCTCGTCCCTTTAGTTCGGATGAACACTGTTCGTCCTCTGTTTCTAGCCGGACGATTAAAGGGACGGAACCCAAACAGCCACGTAGTAAAAGGCGAAGCTGTTAAAAGGTGAACATATTCGCTCTTTGTAACGTTTTACCGACGTTGTCATTTCCCGAATTGGACATTAATTTCTGCAGCGCGCTTTCGTGACAGTAAGTCGTTTGTTGTTTGGTTTATTTTTATATAAATTATTTGAAGAGACGCCCCTCTTCCCGATGTTTCTGAAACTAGCTAGAGCGTTAGCACAGCGGTCCCGTCGATATTTCAGCTAGCTGTGCGGCTTTTTTTCTCTCTTGGATGGATTATTTCAAGTCCGTATAACTGCACCCCGCGGACACGTAAGGACGATTTAAAGGTGTCGGTTGCGTCTGTTGCTTCCACGGACACGTCACGCCGCTTTGCTTCCGTGCTGCTGTCAACGATAAACTCAGGAACCCGGCCGCGTTACCAGGTGTGCCGAGTTTTATCCTTATGGCGCCTTACAACAAACCTTTTTAAGAATAAAAACCAGTTCCCGCGCATTTTTAATGCTCTTTATTCTGTGTCGTAAACGTCTAAATGAATGTTGTTTTTTTGTGTGTGTTTTTATCGCTCAGTGTCGGACATGATTCCTGCTTCCTTGTCTCCTGGAATTGTTCAGTGAGACATTCTTTCCAGAGTTCCGCCTGTGACACCGACTCGACTCGAGGCAAATGGACGCCACGCCGTTAGAATCCGCTCAAGTCAAAGCCAGTGTTTTCCAGAGGGAACAAATAATTAACGGTAAAGATCCCGGTGGTCACGGTGCGGGAGGCGGGACAGAACTGGACCACAATGGACCGAAACACTTGGATCAATTCCGGGGGAAAGTTTCTAACGGTGAGTCCTCTCTTCTCTGTTGGGTTTATGTTCATAGTCGATATTGTTTACAGTTTAAGGGTTATGCGTTATCGGTATGTATTATCGGATATATATCAATGAAGTGGGCGTAGTTGTTAGTCTTGACCTGTCTACCTGTCCGCAGCGCCCCCTGTTGTTCGATCAACATCAGGTAGGATTTGTGTCAATAAAATGTTTTTTTTTTAAGTTAAATAAATGATTGGAATTTTGATGCCTTTTTTTTTGGTCAGTCTTTTTGCGAACACAGTTTTCGTCATAACATAAGGAAAAAAATATGTTCCTCAGTTGCTGATTGGTTGATGAGAATGAGACTAAAATGTGTTCTACAAATCATCTCGTCGCTCAGCAAATGAAAAAAAATGTATCTAATAATTGGATTTGATTGGTTTAAATCGTAACGGTTTATACCGTTATAAGTTTCAAGAATGGGCTCGTCTCGTCATCGAGAGTCGCCACATGGTGGTTTGGCATAGTTGTTGTCCTGATGCAACATTCCAGCCCTGGATCGGTGGTTGAGTAGAAGTGAATCTGGAACCTTCTTCATGCCTCCCCCCCAGAATTTCAACGACTAGCCTTGAATAAAAAAATATGTTTTTTTTTTTTAACGCTTTTATTTTGTAATCTTTTATTTGCCTTTAATGTTGATTTAAGTCGCTGCCTTGCACAAAGGCAAACACGGTGTGTCGGAGTCGTCCGGCCGGTTTACCTCGCGGCCGTCACGTCTCCTACGACTGGTTCCTTTTGTCACGTCTCTCCACTTTCAGGTCCCGTCGGTTTGACCGAAGTCCCGAACGGAGACACGCCGACACAGGGCACCGTTCCGGCGCAGGGACCCCGCACGAGTGAGGGCAGCAACATGCAGCATGTCGCCCCCCGGAGTCAGGAGCCCCCCCCAGGTGCGGCTGCACATCCACCCGTGATGCTAGAGCTGCCTGAGGGCGCTAGTGCTGGGCTCGCGGGTCACACGGGTCACACGGGCGACGCACTGCAGTCGCTCAAACTCAGTATACCTATGCAGGAAACAGAAATGTGTGAGCATAAACCCCAAACCCCCCCTGGCACTCCCCCCCCCCACATTTCAAACCACGACAGCTGCGGTTGTTTT